ATGGATACAGGGCTATGGGGAGGGAGCGGGGCAGTGGGATTAGTTTGGGGATGGATACAGGGCTATGGGGAGGGAGCGGGGCAGTATGTTAGTCTGTTGTTTGTGTGTGATGTGACTCAGTGGAGATTGAAGGAAATGCCAGACTGTGTTTCATTCGTTGTTTTCTATCGTGTTTGCATCAGATCTTGGCAGCATCTGTTCAAGGCTTGTCTCTTCGTCCTCGCCCCCCCACACTGACACTATGCCAACAACTCAGACTCCCGCCCACGTTGGCATCTGTGTCCTGAAACCCCTGCTGCCACTGTGCTAACATGGAAACCTCCTTCCTCCAGCTTCACCAGGACGAGGGGAACAACATGCTGCATTGCAGTGGCACCATGCGCAGCCTCTCCACGATCCCACACACTGAAAACGGTGCACACTCTGTGTGAGGGTCGGCGCCGTGGGGAGCAGGCGCTGTTGGAGGGTCAGCGCCGAGGGGAGCGGGCGCTGTTGGAGGGTCAGCGCCGAGGGGAGCGGGCGCTGTTGAAGGGTCAGCGCCGAGGGGAGCGGGCGCTGTCGGAGGGTCAGCGCCGAGGGGAGCGGGCGTTGTCGGAGGGTCAGCGCTGAGGGGAGCGGGCGCTGTCGGAGGGTCAGCGCCGAGTGAAGCAGGCGCTGTCAGATGGTTGACGCCGAGGGAGCGGGCACTGTAGGAGGGTCGGCACCGAGGGGAGTGGGCGCTGTCGGAGGGTGAGGGAGCGGGCACTGTCAGAAGGTCAGAGCTTCAGGGCCGAGGGAGCGGGCGCTGTCGGAGGGTCAGTGCTGAGGGGAGCTGGCGCTGTCGCAGTGTGAGGGAGCGGGCACTGTCAGAGCGTCAGCGCCGAGGGAGCGGGGGCTGTTGGAGGGGCACAGCCCCAGGGGAGCGGGCGCTGTTGGAGGATCAGCGCCGAGGGAGCGGGCATTGTCGGAGGGTAGGGGCCGAGGGAGCGGGCGCTGTCGGAGGGTCGGTGCCAAGGAAGGGGGCACTGTTGGAGGGTCTCTGGTCCCATCCCACCCCCAGGATCATTGAGGCACCCTATGGCATTGGTGGCCCCTTGGGATCTTGCTGTGTAACGTTGCACAACAGGGTGTAGGGGCCCAGGGACTGTCCAGAACCCATTCCCACTCCCTGTCCACCTGCCCTGCCCAGTTCTAATCCTTGGTCTGGCCCCAATTTAATCCATTTGGAAGGGCCTGGGCTGGAGATGGAGCCTTGGGTGCTTCATTGGTCTCCATTCATGCTGTTGGGTGGGAGTCCCGCCATTTAGCGCGGGCGTGGGGTGGAAATATAGACCCTCTCGGGTTCCCGGGGCTCTCGGCAGTTCGGCCCATTCACCCTCGGCCATTAGGGAGACGCGCCGACGGAGGATGGCGCCGGATGATATCTCCGCAACCCCCTCCCAAGCCCTCATCTCATCTTCGGCCGCCATTCCCTGGGACGCCCCGGTCGAGTCCCTCGGGGCTTTCCGTCGGCGCTCGGACGTTTCCGTCGGCCTTTGCCGGGCGGGGCTAAATGGCTGTTGCCATAGGAACCCGTCGGGGACGTTCGGCTCCTTGGGGCTGAGCTCACACGCCCCGCCTGGGACCACGCCCACTCCAGCGTCACTGGACGCCGTGGCCACGCCTCCA